TACGCCATCTGTCAGGCGTCACATGCTTTGGTCCGGACTTCCCTGCCAAGCGCGTCCACATGACACTCCGGCCCGGACCCCCATTGTTCCGACGGTCCGGCTCCCATTGTTACCCCCGATCCGGTCCCTCATTGTTCCCTGGCCCCATTGTCTGGCGCTTCCATTGTGCTTGGTCATCCATTGTTCTGTAGGCTATATATAGTGGGCCCTGACAAGGAGAGTCCCCAACTTGGTTTCTCTTTGGACTCTCCCTTGTCAGGTTTGCCAGTCTCCTGTATTAGTCGATCCCCTTATCTGACGCTTTGGACTCTCCCTTGTCAGGACTCTGAGATCGGGCCTCGAGGTTGCCCTTACAGCAGAAACTGAGTTCCCAGGGATAACTGGACAAGCTTGTGAAGACCACCGACAGCGTCATCCGCTTCTCACTTCCAACCTTGTCCCCTCCTCCCCCTCTATGATCATCATGTCCCAAATGGAAGAAGAGGACGACCCCTCCCACCCCCAACAGAGGCTTGCGAATCTAGAGGAAGCCATGCAACGGATGGAAGGCCTCCTCCACAATCTCATAATTACACAGCAACAGCCTGCCCCTGCCCCTGCCCCTGCTCCGTCTCCGGCAGTGGGTCCAGGTGTATCTATTGGCCAACAGGCCAGCACAAGACCCCTCATCCGCCCCAACCCCCCATTCGCATTCGACGGGGATCGCACCCAGGGCAAGACGTTTCTCCATTCCATCAAGCAATACTGGCGCCTCCTCCCTGAGGCCTTCCATGTGAACGGGGTAGTATCAGAAGAGCGGGTGGTACGTTTCGCCCTCTCCTACATGTCCAAGGACTCGGCGGCCTCCTGGTCAGAACGCATGTCAGAGCGCCTTGTCTTCCCATTCCCGACCTGGTCCTCCTTTGTGGCCGAGTTCATGCTCCGGTTTGTCGAGGAGAACAAGCAAGACCACACCCTGGCACAACTGGAGACCCATGCTTACTACATGGGATCCCGCAACATGTTCAAATACACGGACGAGTTCGACGACCTTCTTGACTTGGCGGGGTACTCCGACAACTTGGTCAAGGTCACCAAGTACCGGGCAGGTCTCGACCCCAGAATCAACCAGGCGATCACGACCTCTGGCAACCCGCCTAGCCTCACCGACTACTCGGAGTGGCGTACCCGCGCATTCCGCCAGTACAACGCCGAGGTGGCTGCCCGAGCCGCACGAGGACAGGCGTTCTCTCCACCCCGCTCCCCATTTCCTGCGGCTCCCTGTCCTCGCCCCGTGGCTCCTCCGGTGGTTGCCCCTCCTCCCGCTCCCCGACCAGCCCCGGTAGTCCTCCTGCCGGGCATTCCCATGGAGATCAACCAAACCAGAGCCCGCAGCAGTGTTTGTTGCACCTGCTTCCAATGCGGCAGCCCAGGACATCTGGCCCGAGACTGCCCGACCCCCGCTGACGTCCTGGATGAAGTGATCAATCAGCTGGGAAGTGACCTGTTAGCGGAATTAGTAGCCTGGCTAGCAACTACGGTGGCCGTAGAGGAGCATGAAGCGGAGATTGCCAATGAGTTGGAGCAGGGTTTTCTCCCCTCCGACAAGTGAATAGTACGCCCTCGATCGCCTCACATAATCGTTTCGAATGTCTGTATGATGAATGCGACCTCATTTCCCCCACAAACAAAACAATAGACATACCTCCTATGCCTCGCTCAGTTCCGCTGGTCCGCAAAGAAAAGTGGGAACGAAAACTCCCTCAGCGCTATGTGGTTGCGGCCTCCCCTGGCGCCAACTCCCTGCACCTCCCCCTGGAGATCCAGTCCACCGACAACGCAGTCCAGCTCTCTCTCAACAGACTGGTCAACTGCGGCGCCATGTCGGACTTCATAGACTCCACCTACACCTCTGAAAACCGACTTCCGGTCCGGCAGCTCTCCCAGCCCATCCCAGTCTACAATGTGGATGGCACACCAAACGAAGCTGGCTCCATTTGACAAGTTGCCGATGTGGTCCTGCGTTACCAAGGACACAGTGAGCGGGTCCAGCTTGCTGTCACTCGCAAGGCCCCACCCCCTCCATCTGCGTTGTTGACATGGAAGACCATGAAGACAAGGCTATGCCACCACTCCAGGAAGACGATGGGGAAGAGCCCAATGAAGAAGAAGATTGTCTGGAAACCGGTGACCGTATCTTCTACACCCGTTTCAACCCTTCTGAAGACATCCGAGCTACTAGCACCGTCTCCCAGCGTCTCGCGGAGGTGTTTGCCAAGAACTCCGCCCCCCCTCAGGATTCCATACCCAAGTGGGCATGCGAGTTCGAGGATGTTTTCAGCAAAGAGTCCTTTGACAATCTTCCAGAGTGTTGGCCCTGGGATCATGCCATCGAACTGGTGCCTGATGTGTGTAAGGGCAACTCCTGCCAGCCCGAAGAAAGAGAGCACACAGTACACAACAACCTCACATGAGTCTGAGCACAGAGGGGGATCCTTAGCGACTATCAAATACAAGGGAGGTATACTACTCACCTGAGCACAGAGGGGAATCCTTAGAGAACGGTTCAAGGATCCATGTGCCCAGGTGTCACACTATATAGTCAGCTGTGACAAGTGACTGATGATGATGGGATGTAGATAATGACAAAGCACCTTGGACACCCCACATTTGTGGAACAATGGGAGATGACAAGTAGATAATGACAAAGCACCTTGGACACCCCACATTTGTACCTCGAGAGGTACCTTTTTGAGGCCCAAACAAGGTACCTAAGTGGTAGTGGGCGGCTGTGGGCTGGGCGGCTGCTGGGCCCCCCCAATGCTCTGGGCGGCCCCACTCAAAAATCCATGGGCGGCCAGTGGGCGGCCTTGGGCGTGCCCACAGCTCCCGGGGTCCTGATAGCGCGCACAGCACCCGAAAATTATCTGTTTTTTTGGCCTATTTGGAAAGTAAAAGTCATGTCTATTTTTGCAACCTACGCAATAATACTGGCATAGAATGTAACATATGACTTGTATTCATGAACATATTATGAATGTAACATGACTTATTCTTTCTCTTAAGGATATATCAAGTCACTATTTTGTAGGCTTATGGACTCGAAGAAAAAAAATCCTTATCTTTTGCGCTTTATGACTTGAGTGAATGATGCATACAGATGTTTTTTATATTCTCTTTTGAACGTAGATGTATTCTCAGCAACAGGTGATCCCTGAGCACAGGAAAAATGTATGTGACATATTGACGCCTAGGCAAGTGTGAGCCCGCCCACAGAGTTATGGGCCCGCCCAAGGAAAGTGTGGGCCCGCCCGCCTATTGCCAAGATTACTTTGTGGCTGCCCCTCTTGCTTAGATAATTATGGGGCTGCCCATATTGCTTAGATGATCATGGGGCCGCCTGCCAATTGCCAAGATAATTACAGGGCCGCCCATATCGCTTAGACAATAAAGATATGAGTAACACATTAATGAGATCGAGAACGACAGCAGTACAGTAAGTGCGAAACAATAGAAATTGTCCAGACAACACATGAGACTAATATAGGTCACATCACAGTCCCATAGCATCCAGTGTCAACCAAATCTTTGTACAGCGTTTTGTGTAAGCCCCTGTGCCGCTCAGCAACAACTGGCAGGAGGCGGAGGTCCATGCGCTTCCACTGACCCTCCACCTTGGTCACCCCCCAAATCCTACCAGTTAGGTAGGTTTTTCCGGCGCCCAAAACCTACCTGAGTGGTAGTGGGCGGATGGGCGGCGGGCACTCATTTTGCAAATTGCGATCCTTGGGCGGCCCATTGTTCAGGGTTCCAGGCGCCCGTGGGCAGCAGCCCGGGCAGACCCAACCCCGCCCGGGGTCCTAGCACGCGCAGCGCTAGAAATTTTTGGCCATTTTACGTCCCGTTTAGGAAGTTCAAGTCAATTTCTATTGCCTTCATTGCACACAAAATACATTTGTTTTGTTTCCTACTTATCACCCGTGTGTACACGATGCCAATTAAATATCCATGTAGCTTTTTTGCGTTCAATCAATCATTGATGCTGAAAATCTCTGCATCAGGGGGCGGCGGCCTGCCTGCGTCGCAATTCTCGCTGTGTCCACGCCCACTCGTCCACATCTATGACTTTGCCCAGACGTTCTGCTTTTTCAAGCTTTTCCTGTGCAATTCTTCTCTCTTCTTAATCCAATAATTTTGTCATTGAGACTACGCGTTCATACGGCAAGCCTACCTTTTGCAAATGCCTTCTTCCGTTCGACTGAACGAGCTTTTTCCAGGTGTTTAAGTAATCCCATTTGTTTATTTTGAACCTGGCAAGCCTACCTTGTGCACGACGTTCTGCGAGATGATGCTCAAATTCATCCTCCGGCTCTCGCTTGCTCTCACTCTCACTTTCCTCGCTGTCCTCCGTCTCCAGTTCCTCATCATCGTCAGATCGGATGATTGCTCTGCCCCACCCATGGCGGATTCTCCGCACTTGGCGCCGAGGTTATGGGCACGGCATAAGGAGGTGCCGATTGATCCTTCGTTGGTCGGCTGGTGCGTGGGCACCCGTGAAGAGATGTGGGCGCCCGTGTCGTAAGTCTGGGCGCCCGTAGTTTGCTGTGGGTGCCTGTGATGGGATCTGGGCGCCCGTGTCGTAAGTGTGGGCGCCCGTCACTGGTGTCAGGGCAATCCACACAATACAGTGATAGGAGTCACAGCAGGTCACAGCTAACCACCAGTGGATTTTGATGCAGTGGAAATAACCACGTGTAGACTCCGTGCGGCCTACTTGATCAGCTGCCGGCTCGCATGCCGGAGCCCCCAAATCCTGGCTAGTTACCTAATTCACGGTCGGCTAGTGATCCAGGCCCGACTCGCCTTTGGCTCGCCCATCACTCGCAAGCCGAAGCCCCCGAGGGGGCTAGGTACCCGTGAAATGCAGTGAATATATTACAGAATAGTCTCTATGCAATCCCATTCAAACAATAAATTCGGGGAGCCTCTAGGGATCATCTAATCATAATATGCTATGCAATTCAAACGCGTTCGAACTTTTCCTGATAAGCCAGGCGACCGGCTGCGATTGCATCATATTCTGCCAACTTGGACCGCGTGTCACCTTGAATGGAGAAATGTCAATCAATCGCAATTCAAACCACGTGCGACCACGGTAGCCCCTCACCCAGCGCAGTCCCTTGTTGCCCAGCGATGATAAATTCCATCTGCTCGATGGTCGTCTTGTTCACAAAATCTGCTCTCGGCTTGCGGATATCTTCCCACACTGCAAGGCGTGCAGAGACATCCTCGCGCGTGGTGCCAAGCGGCAGCATACACGCGAGCACACCCGCGTCCTCGATCGCCATCGCCGCACCCTGGGCCAAGAAAGGGAGCGTGGCATGCGCCGCATCTCCGAGGAGTGCAGTGCGACCTTTACACCACGTCGGGATCGCAGGAAGCACACGGAGCCGCCAGCGGAAGATCTTTCCCGCGTGGTTCGGCAGGTCGAGCAGGCGGTGGAACTTGGGGTGGTAGTCCGCAAACTTGGCCCGTACCTGCGCTGGGGACATTGTCGGAGTCGAAGCTGGTTGCGAGACTGCGATGAGGATACGCAACGAGGCTTTAGTCCGCGTTGAGAATCGCTGTCATGCCACTCACCGTCCTGCTTCTCTTCCTCTGTTTCCGTATAGAAGTGAGCCGAATTGACGAGCTCTCCGTTTCTGCACGGATAACAGAGAATCATTCGGAAAGGAAGGCCTCTCCAAGCCACAGAGCGAACGCCAGGGTCTCCTTCGCTGAGCCACTCCAGACCCGAGAAGCTGCCATCCGTAGGAGTCGCGTTGAACACTGAACGGCAACAAGCGATGCCGGTGGGTGTGGCATCCTGCACATATCCGAGCACATTCGTACGGATGAGCGACTAGAACCAGTTCGTTAAGCCGCAGGAAAGACAGAAAAGCAAGCAGGGCACCGCACCTGGATGCCATCTGCTCCAATGACCAGGTCCGCGTGGACGGTCTCTCCCGATTCAAGTACCACGGTGCCTTCCTCTGGGGAGCAAGAGAGCACTTTGCAGCCGAAGCGCATCGACACCTGCGGAAACCCGCCTGTGGTATCGAGCGCTACGCGTTTCAGTTCGTCATAAATGTCGGTGCGGTGACACATGAGCAACCACTGGTTGGGTTTCAGTCACAGAGCTCGTATTTTCGAAGGGATATCACTTGCGTCGCTCTCTCCATGTTTCGCGCTCGGCAGGAATTTGTGCTCTTGCCCGTCCCCGGTGACAGGGTCAAAACTGATGATCTGGGAAGTGCAAAAGTGCCGGGGTATCGTGCAAATGAAATGGCGGCTCACCCCCGTAACAAACACGCCTTTGAAATTTTCCACCTGGACGCCGAGGTGCTTCAATACGCGCATCGCGTTGGGCTGGATCCCTAGCGCCGCGCCGACCTCGGTCTTGTTCTCCGACCGCTCGAATACTTGAACGATGTGGCCAATCTGCCGCAAGGCCACGGCAGCCGTAAGACCACCCAGGCCAGCGCCAACGATCGTAATTCGGAGAGGAGTCGCAGTAGTCGTCGAGTCTGAAGGCATTGTGTGGAATGCAAGTGATCTTTGTGGCTCGGTCAGGTCGCTGCTTTTATGCTGCCCGTCCGTCATGCATGTAACGATTCTTTCCAGAGTTCGCCGGTTCGGATATGAAACTCATGCGCTTCTCCGCCCATTTGAGACCAGTCGGAGAATGGGCTCTGTCACACCTCAGTTACCACCGCCATCACCCGGTTGCACCCCCGCGGGGGTCCTCCTGGGTACCCTCAGACGTAGCTCTGAGGGTACCTAACAGGTACCCCCCTGCGGGGCCCGCGGGGGGGATTTGGTCCATTTGGGGGCGGGGGCATATGCGGGGGTCAGCAGGGGGGGGTCTGTACATGTCATGTGATTTATCATTGGGAGCGGGCAGGTGGGCGCGAAAAAAAAAAATGAATCACATGACACATCCAATGGGCGGGATGGCGGCTGATGGCGGGGTAAAAAAATCACGTGATGCACCGCATGAAAATTATCAAAAATGGCTAGCAGGGGTTGGCGGGGGTTGGCGGGGGCGCTACTGGCCCCCCGCACACCATGGCGGGCAGTGGGCGCATTATCACGTGACTTTTGGGGCACCTTTTGTGCACCATTCGGCATGATTTCGGAGGTGTTGCTTGATCCATTGCATGCTGTGGCAGACAATGGGCGCATAATCACGTGATTTTCCGCCCAAAAAAATGGAAGCCTTCCCCAAATCATCCTGGTATCATTTCTATCGGTAAATACACTAGTTAAGCATGAATTTGAGCTTAGAAAGCCCAAAATGCACCCTGCACAATGGGACTGGTGATGCACTTGATCCCATCATTTGGCGGGGTCTGCTGCGGGGGGTGCCACGGGGGGTGCTGCGGGGGGTGCTGCGGGGGGTGCCGCAGGGGGTGCCACAAGGGGTGCCGCAGGGGGTGCCGCAGGGCCCGCTGTGGGGTCAACCACAGGAGCAGGGGTAGGGGTGCATTGCATCATATTTTGATCTATCTATTCTCGCTGTGGTCATAGCATGCAGCATAATTATCCTTCATTTTGCCAGGAGTTTGGAGGCTGTGTCTGGGGTTGGTCTGCAGCTACAGCCATGTGACTCCCTGATGCTTCGGCAGGGGCTGGGATATCAAAACTGTGCAATATTGTCTGCATAATCCAGGCATGTAGGGTTAAAAAGAAAGTGTGATTTGTTCATTTTTTGGCTGGCAGGGTAGGTGGGCTGACATCATGGGCTGCATCGGGTCCACTGTCAACTCATTGATTGTTTCGTCTGCTCATTCTATACACATGCCCATTGGTAAGCTGATCATGCTGTAGGCACAGTCTAATCTTACCCAGTGGATAATACCATACGTTAATTATGCACCTAATGTCACACTTCCTGTCTGGGACTCATTGAAGTTCATCTGTTCTGTGTTACTTTACAAGCAGTTTGCTTTAGTTGCAACATGAACAGATGTAATAGAGTGGATTTGACATGCCCTGAATTGATTCCTAGGTGGAATATGAGACAATGGATTCACCAGCAAGTTGCCTCACAATAGTCAGAGATTGGTAATATTTGAATTTCAAATTTCATATACAACACTCTGTGCACTCAGAACTCGTATATTTGCAAGATAGACTGTAGAGACATAGATGGTTACTTTTACTACCTCTGGGGCTGCACACATCCTTGCCATGACCCACTGCCTGCACCCCTGCTGGTACCCCCATTGGCACCCCCGCCGGCACCCCTGTTGGCACCCCCGCCAGCACCCCCGCTGGCACCCCCGCCAGTCTAGCACCCCCCGCTGCACCGGTGCCTTGTCCCCGTGATTTTCTTATATGTAAGATTATGTAAACTGACAGCTCGGAACACGTCAAGTCACTAGCCAATCAGAACCTGTATAAACGTCGTACCTAAGTGTTTACTGCTCTTCTAACACTGTTCCTACAGTTATGCAGCTGAAAACCATCGGAATAAGGTCTCCTTCTGCTATTCTTGTTGAATATGTAGATACTTCATATCATTTGTCCACCTAAAATTCGAAACATGAAAAGAGTTCACCATTGCTCAAGGTTCCTATGTAGACAATGGTTCAACATGGTTCACTTTGGGTATGGCAAAAAATATTTTTTCTACACACAAGCAATTCAATACAGCTGAATGATATACTCTTTGGCAGTGTCTGAAACAAATTCTGAGAGCCCTGGACCCGGGAACTATTCAAAAACTTGAAATGAGTCCGAAAAATAGGGTCTTGATAAACATGAGATATGGGCTGGTTTGAAGAGACATGGGCCACCGGTCATGTTGAATATAGTATTTTACAATGTTTCGGTGCCCTACCTCTCATCACATGGCCTCATTTCCTACTAAAAAGGGTGCATACACACTCAAGCTCATAAAATCAATTGTCACCCAGAAACAAGAGCAGTGAAGTTGTTTCACTGGGATTGGGTAAAGGTTACCTAGAAGTCACTTGGGTTGCAGTACAGAAGCTTTGGAAAGTGATTTTGTAGTTGATCCACATTTGGTAGGCTGGCAGATGCTTGTGCACCCCCATGGCACCCCCCGTGGCACCCCCCGCGGCACCCCCTGTGGTTGACCCCCCCCCCCAACCCCTGCAAGGATTTAATTGACAAATGTCCTGCTCAATCCATTGTAAGAGTCTACAGTATTATTGGATTCAGTAAAGGGCCCAAATGGTGTGTAGACAAGAAGTATGAAATCCGGAAATCAACAATTATGACACCTCCACGGAATATGCTGCAAATGGAGAGAAAAATTTGAGTGCAGACAGACTACCTGAAGCAAACAGACAGAGAAAAGAAACATTAGCCATTTCTTGTTGATGATGTTGGCTGTCCCTGGAGCATGTACTTGGGAGATTTGCCTAACAAATCAAGTTGCACATTTTTCAAATTTTTAGTTTGACCTGACAGCTTGAGCAGACCATGCTAAAATGAACCAAGTCATATATATCAGTGCCCCAAGCCAAGCCAAAAGATTTAGGTAAATTTGCACAGTTTTGATATCCCAGCCCCTGCCGAAGCATCAGGGAGTCACATGGCTGTAGCTGCAGACCAACCCCAGACACAGCCTCCAAACTCCTGGCAAAATGAAGGATAATTATGCTGCATGCTATGACCACAGCGAGAATAGATAGATCAAAATATGATGCAATGCACCCCTACCCCTGCTCCTGTGGTTGACCCCACAGCGGGCCCTGCGGCACCCCCTGCGGCACCCCTTGTGGCACCCCCTGCGGCACCCCCCGCAGCACCCCCCGCAGCACCCCCCGTGGCACCCCCCGCAGCAGACCCCGCCAAATGATGGGATCAAGTGCATCACCAGTCCCATTGTGCAGGGTGCATTTTGGGCTTTCTAAGCTCAAATTCATGCTTAACTAGTGTATTTACCGATAGAAATGATACCAGGATGATTTGGGGAAGGCTTCCATTTTTTTGGGCGGAAAATCACGTGATTATGCGCCCATTGTCTGCCACAGCATGCAATGGATCAAGCAACACCTCCGAAATCATGCCGAATGGTGCACAAAAGGTGCCCCAAAAGTCACGTGATAATGCGCCCACTGCCCGCCATGGTGTGCGGGGGGCCAGTAGCGCCCCCGCCAACCCCCGCCAACCCCTGCTAGCCATTTTTGATAATTTTCATGCGGTGCATCACGTGATTTTTTTACCCCGCCATCAGCCGCCATCCCGCCCATTGGATGTGTCATGTGATTCATTTTTTTTTTTCGCGCCCACCTGCCCGCTCCCAATGATAAATCACATGACATGTACAGACCCCCCCCTGCTGACCCCCGCATATGCCCCCGCCCCCAAATGGACCAAATCCCCCCCGCGGGCCCCGCAGGGGGGTACCTGTTAGGTACCCTCAGAGCTACGTCTGAGGGTACCCAGGAGGACCCCCGCGGGGGTGCAACCGGGTGATGGCGGTGGTAACTGAGGTGCTCTGTCAAGACTGCAGTTGACGTGAGACTTGATTATTTCCCGATTTCTCGGACATGTGGCTTCATCGGAGTTAATGACACTTCAAATGATCTGTGATGGAGATCCGTTTTTGCCGATGAATGTGGTGTCACTAGTGAGGTTGAAAGGTAGAGCAAGGTGAAGGGTGGAGCAAGGCTCGAGGGTGCAACGATGAATCGTGATCTCATGGGTGTTACTTGTTGGAATGTCAGTGAGCCTTAAGCATACGTAGAGTTGCCTAATCTTGACAACAAGCTTTCTTGCGCTGTTCGTATATTTTACACTGAGTGGACACAATGTTTGACTGGCCGCTTGAGTTTACCAGGCTCAAGGAGCCCATATCATCTTAGGATCTCTACGAACAAGCTGTAGCCTTGAGCCTATCTCATACTTCACTGAACCCCTCAAGTTGTCGGAAAATTATAAGGCAGTGATAAGAACTCAGTTTGGCCTGTATCTCTTCAAATTTTCCTTGCTGCATAAAGCCTCTTTTGCTTCCGAATACAAGCCTCAAATGATAGATCCTTCCTTTTTAGCTCTATTTCTTGCTCTACTGTGATCTGGAGATTTATATATTCTGCGCATTTCAACTAGTGCTTTATAGTACATTTCATTTCAATTATCCCTTGGACAACATCAGTTCTGTGAGCTAGGACAATGAAAAAGTCAACGAGCCAATTGTTTGTTCACTTGTGTAATCTCTCGCACGTCGACACGATCCCCACGGGTGCGAGTGGTATCGAGAGTCACTTACCGTCGTGCCACGCCGACTGACCGTTTTGCCGTTTCCAATCCCCAACTCGCTTGTTTCTGCTCACGCTATCATCGAGTGACAATTTCCCTCCGATTGTTTTGATCCAATATCCCGAGCAGTGCGGGAAACTGGTGCTGCCACTCAGAGAATTCCGTTCATCTTCTCAATTTGATATCCCGTTCAGTTCTCGGCACTGCGAGCCGAGCTGATGCAATAGCTGTACCCACAGTACCATTCGGTGCTTGCTAGAAGCATTTCCATTTCCCGCGGGCCCGGACTACCGCAGAAGAAA